GTGTTCACAGTCAAGCCACCAGACCCTGTTGAAGGTGAAGTTTCCCTCGCTTCCCGGAAGGGTCAAGCTAACTGTAAGGGCGGATTGGTTATAAGTGAACATATAAACTCTATAAATTTGGTTATATCTGGGGTAAGCTAGGTTATAAGTTTTGTAAGTTTCACTTTTTTTAGGGTACTTATAGCTTACTTATACCTTTTTGCCGGATGGACTTAAGCAACATATGTTATACTTATGTTCAACTTAATGTTTCTATGTTTTTTGATGAAAACCATGTCCACTCTCTCCGATATTGGTCTCGAAAGCATGTTTTTGGCGGCACGGTCTTTGACCTATCTGGAAGCTGTTTCTGCTTAGAGGAGGCTTCCGATATATATAGGATATATCAAGCCATGGAGGGCGCCCGCCGTGCACCATGTCAGGACTATAGCCAATTGTACATGTATCTGACTCAGTCGCTCTGGGTTTTGCTTCGCGGCGCCGAGAATTTCGCCGTTCGCAGCGAGGCTCTCTTTAGGCACGCTTTCGCCCTGGGTCTGCGTCACCCCAGCGAAAGCAGCATGGGCACGATGACTGCGCTGTTGGGGTTATCTGGTCAAGGCCTGAACACCTTCCAAGCACACATGCTGCTGCAATCGGTGAAAGGAGCTTGGAAAAACTTCACAAGACGCCTGAGAACCATACAACCGGCTGCATTCGTGGAGGCCGTGCCTTTGATCTTGCATAATGAGCAACAGCAGGCCTTGCAGAACAAGGTGTCGGAAACCTTGGTGCCAAGTGTACTCACCCAGCAGCAAATGACTGGCCACATCGCCAATGTTCCGCTTCGTCGCAGCAATACGGCTTCTGGAAGCTCGAAAGCCCCCGCTCCCGACCCTGCAGCCGTCATGATGAATGCTTTTGCTGTTGCCATGCTGGGCCATGGGTCTGGAAATCCCGGGCGGGGTGCAAGAGTGGAGCCGGAAATACAGATTCTGCAGCCGCACGGTGCTCAGCCAGCGACGCAGCAGGCAT